TGGATCTCATGCTTCATCATGGCTAAAGCTGCAATCCATAAATAAGTAAATGACTTCCATATTACTTCTGGTGCAGACCTCACCTGAGTTCTAGATCACTACAGCCAACTGCCTACTGGCATCACCATGTGATGACAGGGCAGGTTAAACTCAATAGATCCCAAACTAGATTCATGGTCTTCCTGAACTCATAATCCAAAACTAAATTCATGATCCAGGATCAACCAAACCTAGTTCTTCTCCAGTATGTTGTTGTTAGTGCATAAATGGCACCACCATGCAACCAAGTTACATAGACAGAATTCTACAAGTCAAGGTTATCCTTTATAGCTTTCTTCTTTCTCCCCCTCCAAATCTAATGTATTTCAACTTCCATTATATGGATCTTGTTGCATGAATATCGATCTATTTCTTTTTTTATCCTCATCCGAGGACATTTTTGCATTTATCTTCAGATAGAGTGGGCAGGAAAGAGGGAGGAAGAGAGAGAGAGAGAGATTGATGTGCAAGAGACACATTGACTGGTTGCCACTCACACGACCCCAACAGGGGCCAGGGACAAACTGCAACTGAGGTACATGCCCTTAGTGGGAACCAAACTCAGGAATCTCTGGTCTGCGGGCCGACACTAACTGCTGAGCCAAACCAGCCAGGGTTTGATCTATTTTTTTACACTCCAAAATAATTTCCCTTGCTGGTTCATTCCCCTACTGTCCATTATAACATGTTATCATTATACCAAGGTCTCAGACTTCCCCATGTTTTCTGTTTATCCCTCAACTCACATCTCAACAATTTAATTTCTTATTCCTTCTAAATATTCTATCTACTCCAGCCACAAAAATCTACTTTACAATATCTGCATATAACTTATTCTTTCCCATCCCTCTTCATTGACCTAGCCATGTCTTTTTCCCACAAAACTCCTCTTGGAATCCTTCACTCATTAACTCAATCAAATATCACCCCTTACTGGGGAAAAAAATAAAGTTACAGATTCAGGGCCATACTTTATACAGCCCAATAATCTATCTTTGACAATGGCACCAACGAAACATATTACAATTTCCCTCCCAGACATGGTCCTTAAAAATCTGTCATTACACCCTGGCCTATTTGGCTCAGCGGTTAGAGCATCGTTTACAAACCAAAGAGCCACAGGTTTGATTCCAGTCAAGGGCACGTACCTCAGTTGCAATTTGGCCCCATGCAGGAGGCAACCAATCAATGTGTCTCTCCTCACATCAGTATTTATTTCTCTCGCGCTCGCTCTCTCTCTCTCTTTTCCTCCCTCCCTCACACTCTATCTGAAAATCAATAGAAAAATATCCTCAGGTAAGAATTAAAAAATAAAAATCATTACCCAAATACACTACTTATTTCTTTTAATAATACGTCAAACACCGAATCTACAAATATATGCCTGTTTTATATGTCTTTTATGAACTCATATACTTTCAGCCTTTTCTATTTCATAAGGTTATGAATTTCACAAGTTTAACATCAACCATATAAAAGTGAACTTCCTTTATTTGTTCTAAATGTACTAAACATCAAGGTGGTAGTCTCATTTTTAGCATTTTCTGATTTGATGAACAAGCTGATCCATATCATTTGTGATTCTAAAGGAATAAAAAAACAAATACAGCATGAATCATATTCTTATATTCTGTTTAAAGGGTAAGATCCAGTTGTATTGATATTTGTATTCCTAGTGTCCATAACAATGTCTCTCAACGAGAAGGTGCTCAATATATGTTCAACAGAATTAAAGGAATTCTGCTTAGGACTGATGTAATGTTTGTGAATGCCAAAAAGAAAGGAGAACTTCTCAAATATGTTAACACTGCTTCTTTTCAAGAAAAATGGTATTTGGTTTAAACAAAAGGGGGGGGGGACTGATGTCCAGTATAAGTGAAGAGAATGTAATGTAGCATCTTGATGCTTTAAATGAAACAAAGTGCACTGTGAATGTGATCACTGAATCACTGCCAGTGAAAAAAGCATGGAGACTCGGAGGGTTGCCAAAGACTGGAAAAGAGCAAATACACGTAGGTCTGATATTTTTTTTAATGGAAAGAACTGCCAATAAGAACCCAGTATACCTGACATCAATCTTTTTCTAAATTCAGATTATTTACTTAAAAAAAATAGCTTCCAATCACTTAGAAAAAAAGTGGTGAGCATTTGTGGAAAGAACCAGTTATACTAATCTAATTTCCTCTTTATGAGTATTTATAAAAGATTATATATCAAAAAGCAATAAAAATAGTGTGCAGATAGGAGTTCAACAAGGTATTTGACAAGGTTCTGATTATAGTCATATGGATAAGATAAACACAGGATGGCTAACAGTATAATTATGTGGCTAGGTAATTGTGTGAACGACCATAACAAGTGCTCGTTAACGAACTGCTATACACCCGAAGGGCAGTTCTACTGGCAAGCTTCAGAACTCAATCTGTGGCCTTCTTCTGTTCAACAATGTTTATCAATAACTTGAATGAGTATATAGAAGGTTACTATACTACTGTTGGCATCCAATGTGCAGTTGACATGAAACTAGGGGCTCATAATATATATTATGAAAGAGCCAGGATCTAAAAAACACAATGATAAGCCAGAAAAATGGGCTCATTCTAATAAGATAAAATCTAATAGGGAAAAGTATATAAGGGCTCAACTAATACCTGTGTCCAAACATGTACATTTAACTGTGAAATGGGCAAGTGCTGTGACTTAATTGCCACATATGTAAAACAAACAAATAAACAATGGCTTTAGTTGACAACAAGCTTAGTTCAATCTGACAGCAGCAAACTCAATATTGTATGGACATCAGAAAAGCTAATGCGATGCACGCTGCAGTAGTAGTATCTCAAACACGGAAGACAGGAGTCCTGCTCAACTCTCGACTGATCAGACCACAACTGGGATGCTGTGAGCCCTTATAGAAGTCGGTCTTCAAAGGATCTTAACCTTATTGGCAAACATTCAGAACAGAACAATCAGGATACTTACAAGCCTGGACACTATTTCATAAAAGAAAAGACAGAAGAAAATAGAGATTTATAAATAGGACAAAAATGACGCCTTCAGAGGAAAATGATGGCTACCTTCATTCAGTCATTCAACAAACATGAATTTCAAACCTAGTTCAGTACAGACATTGTGACAGTGGCTGGGGATACAGAGTGAAAATAGTCTATATCGGTAAGAAATTGTGTGTGTATCTAAAAAGCTGAAACAGCCATGCTCTAAAAAAGGATTGGATTGTTCTATATGATTTCATAAGGTAGAAACAGGAACAATGGAAAGAAGTAAGAAAGTAACCAACTTCAGCTCCATATAAGGAAGAGTACTATTCTGAATCAAAGCTCTCTAATGAAGGAAAAAACTGCCTTAGAAGACTGCAAGGTTCTGATCACTAATGGTGTAGTTAGAAGGGAGACTACTGAAATAAGACAGGCACTGAACTAGACCATCTTCAACATTTCTCACATTCTACACTATGATTCTACACTTCCCCAGGGAAATGGACTCTCACCAGATTCATCCTATGTACTGCAGCATCACAGGTTTCACAGTTGCTACTTCCAACCTTGTACCCTATTCCACACTAAAGTGATGCTTTGTAATTGGGAATGGACCTGAGATACAGGAAGAAAAAGACCCATCAACACACAGAACACACACAAAAAAAATACTGTTCAATAAATGTAAGAATTTATTACTGTAAAATAAATGTTAGTATCTGTCCTTTAAGTCATAAACTCATTTAAAATTACTCCATTACACCCAGCCGATGTGGCTCAGTGGTTGAGTGCCATCGACCCATGCACCAAGAGGTCAGTGGTTTGATTCCAGGTTGGGGCAGACTCCCAGGTTTTGGGCCCGATCCCCAGTGTGGGGCATGCAGGAGGCAGCCAATCGATGTTCTCTCTCATAAATGTTTTCTCTCTCTAACATCAATAAAGAAAAATTTTTTAATATTCCATTATGTTCAATTAATGTAAATAAAGATTTATTACTACTGCATCTCTTGTTGGGAGCCATTTTTTTCTAACCAACAAGGAAAAAATTTTAACTCAAGATCATTTCGAGAATTTGTGTCCTAAATAAGCATTCCAAAACCCTCTATTACATGATTGTATGGAAACTAAGTTTGCAATGTATTTCTAATAAGATATAATTAATCAGATCTAGCAGGCCAAATACCATAAACTAATCGAATTGTGAAATTCTGATTAAATGACTACTTAAGTTTAATACATTTTCAAAATCCCATGCTGGATAAACATAGAGAAAAGGCCTAGACCATTTTAGCCCTGGCTTTTATAAGTTGGTAAGATTATTCAAGCTTACTTTCATTCATTTTACTTTGTAATTTTAAAACAGTCTCTATATTGGCTCTATATGCTGCAACTGGGTATTTAAGGAGTTCACCCTTCCAAACTGTTAATATTAACTTCTTGGAAGCAGTCCCTCACGCTTTAGCTGTCTCAGCTGGATACAATAAATGGGCCACAATTCGATTTCCAAAGACTCTTTCTTTTAAATAGCTGCCCGGAAAGACAAAAGTGAGAAAGAAAGAGGGACATCTTTAACCACCAGTCTTTAAAACAGGCTTCCCCTCCGGTTGTCATCAACTCCGACGGCTCTCAACCATTTCTCACCAAACCGCCTGGTCGTTTCGTTTAAAAAGAAGAAGAAATGATAGCTTCCAGTTTTCCTGGGACGGGGAGATCCCCTTTTGTAGAAGTGGCTAAAGCTAGGCTCCCCACGGGGATTTCATCTCGTTGCCAAGGCAGCGCCAACCCGAGTCGCCCGGCGCGAGGGCAGCTGCCGCCCGCCCGGAGCCCAGGGCGGCCCCAGCCTGCGGCAGAGCAGCCCGGCCCAGCCCAGAGCCCCCGCGGCCTCGGAGTCCCGGCCGAGATCCCGGACGGCCCAGCGGGCGCCCAGGACCGCGGCGCAAGGCGGGAAGACGCGGCTCGACTTACAGTGACACCATCCTAGGTGACAGCACCAGTGCAGCTTGAAGCACTTGCCATGGCTGTGCGTGGCACAGATGGAGAGCCCGTCGCACGGCTGGAAGTCGGGTCTGCGGGCAGCGCAACTCCGCGCCAGGGCCTGAGCCTCGTCCACTTTCTCGCTCTTCCAACCCCGCTCGGCCGCGGACGCTGCCGCCGCACTACTCATTTCCTCTCCCTTCGCGGAGCCGAGACCGAGAGCCCGGGAGAAGCGGCGTCTGGGCGGACAGGAAGCCGAGTCGGCTGCGGGCGCGGGAGGGCGCGGCGCGGGCAGGGAATCACGCCAGCGCGTGGCGGCGGCGAGAGCGCGGCGGTCCCAAGCTCGCCGAGGAGCCGCCCCGGGCTCTGCGACCAGGGGCTGGGCCTGCCGCGCCTCGCTCCCTCCCTCCCTCCGCCGCGGCGCGCGCCGCGCCCCACGCGCACGCGCGCACGCACACGCGCGCGGCGGCCAACGGGGCGGCCAGACGACGCGCGTGCCCCCGCAAGCCCGGCCTCTTCACACACACCCCGCGGGGGAGCGCGGGCGTCGGCGTACCCTCCAGTCTCAGCGAGTCCCGGCCACACACTCACTCCTTCCTGGGAGACTGCGCCCCAACCGATGGGGGCGTTATGGATAGACACACGCTTTGGCGGCTTGGTTCTCACACGTACACTTCCCACGCACACTTCCCTCCGAGCTGGGTAGTCTCGAGGACTGACACCCCCGGAGGGCTGTGCGCACCGAGGACACGCCCATCTGGACTGCTCAGTGGGCTGGTCCCTGCGCATCCGCGAGCGAGCTTCACACACACACACACATACACACACACCCTCTCTCCACACGCGCCTCACATTTCCCTCGTACACACCTCCCTGGGAGTCTGACCACAAAACCCCTCAGAAGCTCGCGCACCTGCCCACACGCGCGCACTCCCGGAGAACCTGGCCCCTGCTCCTAGCGCGGCGCCCACGCGGGAAACCCCAGCCCCACACCTGTGCCTGGAGCCGGCCTGCACTAACCTGCGTCCATCCCCCAGGGTCTGCTGGGACTGCAGCCCAGGCCTTGCTGAGTGGGAAAGTAACCAAGCTGGGTGCTTGCAATGCTGTGGAGTGTGTATGGCATGTATGGTTTACGAGACTGGTATGTAAAATGTGTTGCGTGTGTGTGTAGTTTGGTGTGTGTGTGATGTGTGTGGGTGTATGATTTTTACCTGGAGTGTGTGTGGTTATATACGAAGTTGGATGTGTTGTTAAATGCATACATGGTATGTGCGATGTGTGTGGTGTATGTGATGTGCGTGAATGTTATGTGGAGTGCGTGTAATGAGGTGTGTGTATGCATGTGTTTATGGCATGTATGTACATGACCAGTGTGGAGTGTACGTGGTGTGTATGTGTGTGTAGTGGAGTGTATGCGCTGCGTGTAGTATTGTGTGTAGTTCTATATGTGTGTACTCGTGTGTACATGGTGTGTGAGTGGTGCATGTGCCTGGCATGTTGAGTGTGTGCCTAGTGTATTGAGTGGAGTTTCTCGTGTGTGGTACACGTGGGTGTGAGCACACAAACAGGAATCACATTTGCCTTGGGCTCTGTGTGTGCTTTTTTGCATATTAATGCCCACCCTCCCCAGCGTGTATGACTGGCTGGATGGTGGCTGCAGCTCCCCCACACAATCAGCTTGCCTTCTTCCCTCCTGGGGACAAGTTGCTCCAAATAGATTTTCCATGCCAGTCTGGACTGTGAGAACCCACCCAGGCTGGATTCAGTGAAGAGAAAACAAACCATTTGCTTCCAAGGAGCACGGTTGGGAATTAGTGTTTTCCTGCAACAAGGCCAAACTCAGCCTGAACACAAAAGGAAGGGACCTCCTCTCATTTGCTGTTTTTCAAAGCAGAGAAAAGTGCCTATAATTGCCAAGGTTCAGGGAATAACAACAAAGCTTTTCAGCACAAATGCTGTATGAGACCATGTTTACTACACCCAGGTTCACTTTCTCCATCACTTTATTCCTTTCCTGCTTTGCACTGACGAGGAGACTTATTATGATTTTGAAATAACCAAATTCATCTTTAAGCACTGAAAATCCTTGCTTCTACAAGCAATCCTTCATAATTTTCTCTTATATTTAACCTTGGCTTAAGAAGTAAAATACTATTTGCATATATCTGATTCTAGCAAAGTCTTTATTAGGAGCTGGGCAATGACTCGATTTGGTGGCAAAGGTATTCTCAAGAAAGATCCAAATCAAAATCTCAAAATATGGTTCACGCAATAGCCTCACATTGAAACAGTTTTAAACATGAAGCATCATCTCTTCAGCATCAGCCCCAGGGGCCCCTCTCCTGAAAAAATCCCAAGGTTTCATCACTGACTCATAAAATCTATCCATGCCTGCTATTATTCCACAGTCTGACCCACCTCGAAATAACTTGAGTCAAAGGAAAACTTAATCAAAGAAATCCATAATACATTATTGCTGTAGCAAGCCAACTTAGAATTTTCCAAAGGGGGATTCCCATCTCTACCACTTTATTACTCTCCTTCCCAAACTTATAAACTCACTCTAATATTGTCCATATTATATAAGGTCTTATAACAGAATTCTTTTGGTATTTTAGTAGCTAATATTTGAACAGGATCCTTCCACTGGCTCTTACTCTAAGGTGAACCATGTTATAAGATTCTACTACATGTGAAACCATACCTTCTCAGCTAGTGAAAAATGATCATGAAAAACAATGCAATATAGCAGTAGGCAAGAAAAATTACCCAAATACCCCGAATTTTATGTTAGCCACATGATTTGAAGCTGAGAGGCCTTTACATTTGCTATAAGATAAAACTCATTCCATCCCTTTGCCCAAAAGATGTTATTAATCTCGACAGTCTGCAGTGCAGCAGGAAGAGGTAAGTGTGCTGTGACCTCAAACATATACAAACACAGCCTTCAGGAAGTGTCAAGATACAAGTTTTTAAATTTTTATTATAGAAAATGAGGCACATACAAAACTAGAGAGTCTAGTAACATGAATCCCCATGTACCCATCACTTGATTTCCATAAACATTAACTCATTCGGAAAATTTTGTTTCGTTTATAGCTCCACCCACTCCTGATCTCCATCCTGCCACTGGATTATTTTGAAGCAAATCCCAGACATCATATAATTTCATCCATAAATATTTTAGCATTTATCTCTAAAGGAATTTTTTAAAAACCATAACCCACAATACCATTGTCACATAATAGTATACAATTTGATCATAAATATAAACTTGTCCATTAGCTGCTGACTACCTCTCCTGCTCCTCCCCTTTAAGAATGCCATTCCCTCTGTCTGGAATTTTCCCCTTTCCCCTTCCTTTCTCTCCTGACTACTTCCTCAGCTTATATACCACCTCCTCAAAGAAGCTTGCTCTAATCAACCCAGACCATTAGATACACTCGCCCTTCATATCACTTACAGCTTTAAATGAATCATTCACGTCCTGATTGTTGTCCCTCCCTTGTCTTTGTCCCAACTGGATGGGAAGCGGGGCTTCTCTTCCTGTCTCCTCCAGGGCCTTCCCCTGGGGCTGAAGGCCAGCTGGACAGCATTGCAATCAGTGTGGTTTATGTGGTTCAGTCTCATCTCAGCAAAATGCTCACCACTGGGCCTATTTCTATTAGTGCTGTCACCCAGAACTCTAAGTTGGATAATGAGGTTCACCAGCAATAAAATCCTGGGCTGAGGCAGCCTCTAGTAATGCATCTTCCAGGCACTGAAGAGTGAGCCATGGCCACCATGTCAGATGCCTGACACTGAGGGCCCTTGAGATACAGGACCATTTCCCTGTGAAAAAGTCCCACGTGCCCGGGAGCCCAGCTTTTCTTCCAGGCAGCAGCCTCCCCCTTCCTTTTCTCAGAGGGGCTCTCTGATTCTGTAAATGTGGGTGTGTGTGTGTGTGTGTGTGTGTGAGAGAGAGAGAGAGAGAGAGAGAGAGAGAGAGGAAGAAGAAGAAGAAGAAGGAGGAGGAGGAGGAGGAGGAGGAGGAGGAGGAGGAAGGAAGGAAGGAAGGAAGGAAGGAAGGAAGGAAGGAAGGGAAGGAAGGAGGAGGAAGGAAGGAAGGGAGGGAGGGGGGAGAGAGAGAGAGAGAGAGAGAGAAGAGAGAGAAAGAAAGAAAGAAAGAAAGAAAGAAAGAAAGAAAGAAAGAAAGAAAACCATTCAAGAAGGAATTACTGAGCTAATGTCTTTCCCCATCTCCTGCCACAAACTGTAAGCTCTTTGAGGGCAGGAACATGGCCTTTGTCTTATTCATTGCCTGTTCCCAGCACTTAGCACAGAGAATAAAATAATTGTGAACATAGTGAAAATTACTCCATCTCAGACTTCCAACGACTGGAAAAAAGTTAATCTGTGGTAAATTGTTGGCAAATATAGGTAAATAATTCCTATAATTACCCTTTCTGGAGCTACACCCTTAGATATGTTCCTTCCACACTGACTTTTAGTTAGCTATGTGTATTAGTTGTATTGTTTTTTAACAAATTACTCCCTAATTAAAACAACACAGTTTCTATGGGTCAGAAACTGAGGCTTAGCTAAGTCCTCTGCTTCATAGTCTCTCACAAGGCTGCGATGAAGGTATGGCCAAGGCTGTGTTCTCATCTAAATGTCCAACTGGGGAAGAATCTGCTTCCAAGTTCACTCACTGATGGGTTATTGGCAGATTTAGTCCTCAAGGAACTGTTAGGCTGAGAGTCTCTGTCCCTCACTGGTTGTTGGCCAGAGGGCACCCTCAGTTGCCTTGCACATGGATCTCTCCATAGGGCAATTCACATGTGGCAGCTTGCTTTACCAGAACAAAGCACATGAAAAGAGTCAGAGACAGTGTCAAAGTATTTTATAACCTAATATCAGAAGATATATCCCATCCCTTTTGGTATATTCTATGCATTAGAAGTCCAACTCTCCCACAATGGGAGGTGATTACACAAGAAGGTAGGGGTCATTGGGAGCCATTTCTGAAGCTGCCTATCACACCATATAATTTTCTTTAGCCAGTGGAAGAATAGCAAACATGGCATAGTAAAGATTTCCAAAGAATATGCCCATTGGGGTTTGCCCTCCCTTCCTATGCTTGGAACCCTACGATCACCGTATGTACAAGCCTAAGCAAGCCTGCTGGAGAAGGAAATGGAGAAATAGCCTTGTGGAGGAAAATGGAAGCACCCAGCTGATGAACAGCCAATCCCCAGGCAATGGTCTGTCAA